AGGGATTGTTCAGGTCGAAATTTCAAGGCTGGGATGATATTGTGCCTTTTGATTTTACGCGAACTGCCGAAAGTGTGCAGAGGAGAGGAGCCGACTTGAAGGTACAATTCATCTCGTTTTCCCCTTCCCTTTTTGAAAAAATAGCTAAGATTTCCTCCAAAAATCGTAGAAAAAAAATTGACATTCAGTGGGGGCGAGTTCTTTCGGTTCTTGAATAAAGATTTCTTCGGACCAAAGTTTATTTTCTTTTTTTTTACAAAAATGTTTAAATTTTTCCTCAAACTCAAAGAAATAAAATTAATCCTGGTGCTTGAGGGCTTAGTGGTTTTTTTTTTCAGGTAATAATGGAGCGTGATAAAATCAAGACCGATTTGGCTCCGCTGTTCCTGCCACGGCAGCCAGCGATGAGTGAGGAGGAGGCGAATCAGTTGATGGAGGAATGTAACGAAGATCTGGAACTTCTCGAACCTTTTGTTCTGGTATGTGATTGAACCGTTTTTTTACCTTTTATGGTGGAATAACGGCTCAGATTGTCGTTTTATTAGTGGTAGTTTTAGGTCTGCCTGAGTGAGAGTTGCTGGGTCTGGAAAATTTTTTTCGGAGTTTTTTTTTTTAATATTGTTTTATACTACGGATAATTTGGAAGCTCGGGTGGTATAGTCCAAAAATTGTTCGAAATTGCTTTGTCGGGAAATCCTTGTTTACTTCAGGAAGGATAATTATCGTTTTTTGCAGCTATGCAGTGCGTTTGTGTCTGTGCATCCGTGTGTGCGTCAGTCATGGTTTGTCATCTCGAGGCCTACAAAAGCTACAGGGCTGGAACTTTGGGGACTTAATCTGCATGCACGTACTGGTACCACTCCTCATAATGGGTGCTCTTACCCGCGTGGTACTCATGCACAGGGCCCGCCAGAGTTTTTTTCGGGTAAGTCGCTAACTCGAGAACCGAAAAAGCTAGAAAGCTGAAATTTTAAGTGGATGTTCCCTGTCCATGTAAGTCTTAGTGAGCTCAAAAACAGCTCTCGGTTATGCGCGGTATCCACGCACGGGCCCGCCAGTGTTTTTTTCGGGTAGATCGCTAATTCTGAAAAGTTAGAAGACTGTAATTTTAAGGGAATGTTCCCCATCCACATAGGTATTAATGAGCTCAAACCCAGTCCCCGGGTATGAGTGTTTCCCACGTATGGGCCCGTGTAAGTTTTTTATCGGATAAGTTGATAGCTCGGGAACCTGAGAAGTTAGAAGATCAGAAGGGATGTTTCTTGACAGTCCTGGCGGCCAGTCTGAAATTCTTTTAGCTAAAAGCATGTGCTGGAAAAAGCAGTGCTGTTAGCGGCAAAAATCTGCGGGGAATTATGCAAAAAACGCATCTTCGCACGGGCAGCCCGTGCGTTGGCAATTATTTATTTAGATAAACAGTTTTCATTTTGTATGTTTTCTCTCAGTTTTGTTTCCCAATTTTGTACTTTCTCAATATTCTCAATTTTATTTTCCCAATTTTGTATTTTTTTCCCCAATATTCTCAGTTTTCTCAAAAAGGGTAATTCGTTCACTTTTATTTTATAAAAATTATGAAATTTGAAAAATTTTTCTTTCTTTTCAATTTATAGCTGACAAAAGTTTGTAGGAGGGAAAGAAATTTGTGCGATTGCCACAAGAAGAGCTGGGCACATTTTACACAATGGATTGCTACGTGTTTCTTTGTCGTTATGAAGTAATACCGGAAGATGATGAGACCGATTTGGAGGAGGAGGAGGATGAGGAGGGGGAGGAAGAATCCGAAGCAGAGATTGAGAGAAGTAACGCCGGCGATTCCATACAATTGCACAGACGCAAGGTTTTTTCTTCTTTGTTTTTACTCATCGTTTTCTTGAATATTTGAAAATAATGGATATTTTCAGTCAGAAAAACTTTTGACAGGAGAAAACAGAAGGGATATTGTTAAGAAGTAACACATATGTAGCTCTGACATATGATTTTTTTTTTTTTGAAAATTATGCATAATTTGTTCAGTTTTGTTCAATTTTTTAAAATGTTCATTTATATTTTTGCGTTTAAATTTGTCATTTGCAAGTTTATATTTCAATTTATTTTAAATTTCATTTTTTTGTTTCAATTTATTCAATTTCAATTTTTTATTCGATAAAAAAATTCAATTTATGTTGAATGTTCGAAATTTCAATTTTTGTCAAAATTGTGCATAATGAAAGTTTTTGTTCAGGAGCCAGAAGAAGTGCAAGAAGATTTCAAGTGTGTTGTATATTTCTGGCAAGGCCGCGATGCAAACAACATGGGCTGGCTTCATTTCACATTCAGTTTACAGGTTCAACGGTTCTTCCTAATAATTAAATATAATGATTGTCCGTATCGCATTTTAACTTCCCTTCTTTCCTTCCTTTCTCACTTTATTTGCTCCTTCACTTATATCTATTTCTTCCTCTCATCCGTCTTGCAAACCAGTTACATGACTATTCAAAGCTACAGCTAAGAGATGAAACACAATCTGCGTCATAAAATGTTTTCATACACGTAACATTCAAGTGAAATCCTTCTATTCTTCTGTTTCTTGCTATTTGTTTTTTATGTTCCCTTGTTGCATCCACGGAAGATTTGCTTCCCAATTCAGACAATCATCATCGTCACGGAATCCTTAGCACAGCCTTGTCGAAGGTAACAACGGAGTATGTTAGAAATAACATCACAAATATCCATGAGAAGCGCCGATTTTCCAAATATATGTTCCTTGCAGCAACGTTAAAATTTGTAATAGAAAGCGTTTTACCTTATCCTACTCGGACATAGGCGGATTCGAGGGGTTGGAGGGAAGGGAGGGGTGCGATGAGTCCTTGGTTCCCCCTCCCTCTTCTCCAGAGACACAGGCACCAGTGTTACAAAAGTTCGAGTCTAAAGCTAAAACTGAAGAAAACTCCCTTCCGCACACCCCGTCCCTCCCGCTCGTCGCCGCACCAGTTCACACATTTCTCCTCTTCCCCC